AAACAAAATACAACCACCGCCTCATGCACAAAACACCCACTCGGCATCACCAAATATCAAATTCCGATTCTGACCACTCTACCACACCAATCGACAGCCACACTCAACCAACAACCCCAAACTCGCCGCCCAACAGTGACCCAGAAATTTCACCGGCTGCATCTAATCGACGACCCATGAAATTGACTCAACTCACCGACGGCACCTAACTCGCCAGGTCTTTGCAGTACCCAAATGAGACAAATAGTACCCAGAGGAAGACGACGAACAGACGAAGCCGACACCAGCCTCCCTATTTGGGCCTCAGGTCGCAACGCTGGTTGTTCGTGTAGCAGCGTCGCGACGCTGCCGCGAACTGCAGCAGCACCACAACAACGCAGCAGTAGCGTCGCGACGCCGTTCAAGCAGCAGCATCGCGATGCTGCTGCAGTGGGAGGGGGAGGGAGAAGGGAGGAGAAGCTGACGATGGCGGCGGCGGCGACAGGTGAGAGAGTGGAGAGATGAATAGATTAGGAGGAAGTAGAGAGAAATGAATTAGGTTAGGGTTTGAATAGATTAACTGTTTAATATTTAAAATAAAATACCTGATTTTTGAATAAATAAATTGTAAACCTGATTTTTAAAAACCAATCTTTAAACACCTGATTTTTTATAATTTCCCTAATTTTAATCCCATCAAACAAGGGCTTAATTTTTAAAAATTTCTGTTTTTTCTAAAAGAGTACGTAATTTCGTGAACCGTCTCAACCTACACTGACCCATGGGCCTGGCCTCTTGGTCAACAAGCCAGTCCAAACTTGTTAACAAATGAGTCGACAGTCGAGCGGAACTTGGGCAGCCACCTGCCTAGCCGGCCCATTGGCACCAGTAGGTTGGACTAACTCGTGGAAATTCGGCGAAATGAATCGGTGTGCGAGGCTCACCGCAATTAGTTGATTGCATCGACCTTTATCATCTTCAAAACCTCCTGCGCGATCTCTCTCTCATGCACCATTTCAATAATGGCGGCCACAACATTTCGATCCCCACTCCCATCTCTGTATTCATATACCAAAACCCATAATCGGAAGTCTGTCACCGCCGCACAACTCTCCCAACGACGCCTTAAAATCCCTCTTCACGCCTGTTACAGCAACACCAATAGCAAAAATAATAAAAACTTCCAAGCAATTGACCTGCAGGAGCTCATTCAAGACTCCACCTGCGAAATTGATTCCAAAGATTCTCCCGCTTCACATCCGAGTATGTTTCGTCTTATTTTTTTACTAGTTTGCGATTTTTGGTGTTTATTGAGGATTAAAGGATTGAAATTTGTATTTTCAGGGCCTTTAACGTCTGACCAATTGTCTAATTTGACATCTGAAGGGTCTCGTCTTCGTGTTGCTTACCAGGTATTGACATCGATTAACCTTGAAAGTTTATATTATGCTTGCCATACAAGGTACAAGCTTTGAAGCTTAAGGTGCTATGAACATATGTGGTACCACGTGCTTCAGCAGTAATGCATTGACCATGTTTTTGAGTGAACTTAAATAATTCTTCTTTGTTTTTTCAATGAAAAGGGGGTTCGAGGTGCATATAGCGAGTCTGCAGCAGAAAAGGCATACCCAAATTGTGAACCAGTTCCATGTGAACAGTTTGATACAGCATTTGAGGTGAGTTGTGGAGCGGCCACTCGTCTAGATTAAAATACCGAAACTTGGTAATTTCTCCATAGAAATGTAGCCTCTCTTATGCTGTTTATGTACTTTATATCATTGCTAAATTGGATAGTCTTTGGTTCTATCGTTGCATTTTGATAAAGTTTATGTTCCATTTGATATTTTTCTTATTACTACCTTCTATGTTGTAGTGTGATAAAAAAATATGCTAATATTTATATGTTTTACATGTCCCAGACTCAAATTGGGGGTGGGAGAGAAATTTATGTTGTGAGAAATTTACATGTCCCAGACTCAAATTGGTTTTGTTTGCCCATTGCATTTAGTAATTTTCTAAATATGTCTTACAGTTTTAGTTTATTTTTCATTGTTCATTTCCTTTTCTTATTAATGTTCATATCTATGCTGGAACAATTTTTTAATGGTGTGATGTAACAGTAGTATGTGAAGATCTCTCCTGATTCCCTTGGAATAATGTATTTAGGTTGGACTTATTGTCGAAAGTGGATGAAAAATATTGATCAGCAGGATTCAAGATGTTGGACTGTGGTTTCTAAAGAAACGCTCAGAATTAGTGAATCAATGGGTTGATGAACAGTAGAACAGAAAAATATATGGTAGAAGTAGGGGATGTTTGGTTGAGTCATGGTTTAAAAAGGTGGTAGTGAGACGCGCCTCACTGTGAGACGCATGTAGTATGCCTCGAGGCGGTATTTTTTCGGCTAAAAATATGAGGCTCACGCCTCTAAATCTGAGGCGAGCGCCTCATTTAAAATTTGATTTTTCGATTGTATGAAAAAAAAATCAGAAATGGTCCTTCTTAAAAAAGAAAAGGGCCCATTTAAAAAGGTATTTTGGGCCCAAACAAAACAGTAACGATGTTAGTAATAGTGAGGATAGTGCAGAATATTAGACTTTTTTTTTTTAATATAAGTTGCTTCTTTTTTTCCATTACAAATGGAGTGATTTCTAACTTCTATAATGCTTTTTTTTTGGGCTAAACATCTTCTTTCTTTAGGTGGACTATATCTCAATATGCTAATGGCTATATATCCTATTTATTATATGCTCCAACTTTGATTTTTTTCATTTGTGTATTATTTTATAATTCTTTTACTAGATTTCTTGTTTTGTGAGGCTTACGCCTCAATCCACCTCGAGGGCTTACGCCTCGCCTCAGCACCTTAGTTTCGCCTTTTTAAACCTTGGGTTGAGTATGTTATGGGAATCATTTTCTCCCACTTCGCTCCGCTTATTGCTTCTAGTAGATGTCTGCTTGAGTTAAGAACTGGTGTTCTACTATGGCGATATATTAAAAAATAAATAAATCACAATAGGACCAGTCAATATGATTATTAGCTGGGTCAAATGGAAAAATATTACAAAGAGCTTAGGTTGCTGCATCAGAACTTTACAAAATAAAGGAAGATTGAACTAGACATAAAACCTAGTAACTGGCTATGTTGGTTATGTTCAATAATCAATACAAGTTTTTTCTGAGTCTACTAATTCTAGATGCTTTGAATCCTACAGCTTTAGGCTTGAAGTAGAGTGATTATGAAAATCTTAAGAACCAAGAGGCACAGCAGCAGCATTACTGTAGTTAAATATTCTTTCTGCTGCTACGGTAGAGAATGGACAAAAGAAGTTGTGTTATGCTGTCAACCAATATTTTAGAACTTCTCTACTCATCATCTATTCTATATTAAAGACCAAATTAAGAAATGCAATTAAATAATGATATATGCAAAGGGAGGACTTGAATATTATATAATATATGGAAGTACTACATGAATTGTATGTAAGATTATCAAATATGCGGACTACTCTATTAACCAGTTCTCCTTTGATGGACATCTTATGAGGAGAAAGAGCTGTAAATTTGTACTGTGCTGAAAGTTCACTGTCATCTACATATTCTTTAATAATGCTCTGTGTTTGTTTAAATTGATATGGTAGGTCATCTGTATTCTAGTCTATTAAAAGATTGTTTAATATGCTTCATTTGACATTTTACTTCATTTGTAATGGACTTGCAATTTATCAACAAACATAAAATATTAAAACAAGGGTAAGATGAATATGTTAGGTGAGTCAACCTTCATATTACTAGATAAAAACTGCCTAAATCTAATTGATGAATCTGAATTATCAGTTGTCTCACCTTCTCTTTGGGTCAACATTCCACAGGCTGTTGAAAAGTGGCTTGTCGATAGAGCAGTTTTACCAATAGAAAATTCTTTGGGCGGTAGCATCCACCGGAACTATGACCTACTACTTCGACACAGGTTGCACATAGTTGGAGAAGTTAAACTTGCAATCAGACATTGCTTGCTAGCTAACCATGGAGTATTAGTTGAAGACCTAAAAAGGGTTCTTAGCCATCCTCAGGTATGTTCACTTAATAATTGAATGCATCCAACAGAGATGCAGCTTATAATCTGTATTCTTTGATGCTCCAGGCTCTTGCACAGTGTGAGTCCACATTAACTGGGTTGGGACTGGTCAGAGAAGCTGTGGACGATACTGCTGGTGCAGCCAAGGTGAGTAAAATTTGATAGCTAATATCAATTGTACAGAGCTAATGACATATCATTCTATACTCTCATCTTCTATCATTTGTGATCACATTCTTTCTTATAGCAAGTGTTGCATGGAATTTGAAACCAACATTTTCAAGTCTTGCCTAGGTTTTCAGGCCATTTTCCAGTCTGATTAGCTTCAGCTAAAAAACGTGCGTGATTTAGCTTGCATGCTTTGGATAGTTTGATTAGCTTTATGCTTGTGCTGAGAAAACTAATTGTGTCTGGTTCATATTTTTGACTTTTCATGTTTTTGCATTTTGAATCTGTAGCATGTTGCTTTCCATAAACTCAAGGATGCTGGAGCAGTTGCCAGCAAGATTGCTGCTAGCATATATGGTTTGAACATACTTGCTGAAGACATACAGGTAGGCTTGTGGAGTGTGTTGACTTCTAAGTTGAGTTATTGATATTTCATAGCATGTGAAGTCTCACATATAAATACACACAAACATGTGCATTTTCTCATTTGTTTTCCTTGTTCCTGTCCAGGATGATTCTGATAATGTTACCCGCTTCCTTATGCTGGCTAGGGAACCTATTATACCGGGCATTGATAAACCTTTCAAGGTTAGTTACCACAGATAACAGCTGACCTGAAAACAAATACACATCTCGACTTCATTTTATACTATTTTTGCAGTCAATATGCACCTAGTTATTTATCTGTTATCATTTACCAGACAAGTATAGTCTTCTCACTTGAGGAAGGTCCAGGGATGCTTTTCAAAGCTCTTGCTGTTTTTGCCATGAGGAATGTTAACCTTACAAAGGTGAGTTTTTCTTTCCTTTGATCCTGTAAGTGTCGTCTCTGCTCAGTTATTGTCAATGGCTCAAGTACAGTGTTTAAATTTCTGCTTATGTAGATTGAAAGCCGTCCACTGCAGAAGCAGACTTTGCCAACACTTGATGACGGTACCAATGGATTTCCCAAGTACATGCAGCAAACTGTTAATCTTTTATAATGAATCTTGTAGATGAAGTCACATAAACATGTCTACATTTATATGTAATATATCTTGTTATAGCAGACACATGGTTCAAATAGAAGCTTGATTACCAGTCACATCTCTAGATATCTGGCTATTTTATTACTTTGGAAGTATTTATATCTAATCAGACATCAAATTCTGGCAGATATTTCCCGTATCTTTTCTATGTTGATTTTGAAGCATCCATGGCTGACCAAAGAGCCCAAAATGCTCTTGGTCATCTGAAGGTACGGTTACACCATCTTAAGATCCTATCTGAAGTAACTATGTATTGATTATGAAGTGATATACAAAGGCTTTCTTCCCTAATCCTTCTTGAATTAGAATTATTAAATTTTGTTTGGTTTCTTTTCTTTTAAGTTGTAACTAATTTTAATTTCTAACTGATCAAAGCTTTCCTAGTCATAGTAGGCTTTAGAATTTTCCTACTGATTAAGCTTTTCGAGTTACATTTGGATTTGGACTTTCTTATTGATTTATGTTTGCTAATCAGAATTAGTTTTGAAGTCTTGAGGTTTGTAGAGCCTAGGAATAGGCCTAATTCTGTTGAAAAACATTGATTGAAGAACTTTATTCTGTCGAGAATTCTGGTTTGTTGAGATTTATGTCTAAAGCACTGAATAGTGTTTACTTCGATTTCCACTATTGTCCTCTATTTCTTCAATATCTCCTATCATTTGTTGGTTTAAGCTTGTTCTCTCAACTTTGGTATTAGGGGAGACATTGATTTTAATTTATCATGGTTATGCAGTAATCAAGAATTCCTAGGTTGACACAATTCAACAGATGGAAGAGATATAGAGGAGGATAGAGCAACTTGATATGGAAAAATTACGTAGAGATCACGTAGAAGCCCAAATGGAGGTACCCCTTTGGACCTATTGGAAGGAGGCTTGGAGGATGAAGGGAACATTTAGGTCTAGTATATTAACCCTTTCCATAAAAAACGTAGTTCATGCCAATCTGAGTGCGATAGGTTAGAAGAGTGGTTAACAATACCTCTTAATCTCAATTTAGGAGTTCAAATTGATGTTTCAGATTTCCAATGAAGAATGGGCACATAACTAGGAAGCAAGTTTGGTGAATTGTTTCTTAGGAAGTTGATGCAGGAAGAGCACATGCTACTCTTTGCTAAACTGAAACTAAAGAGAGTTCCTCTTCTATGATGAACATGGTTGGAAGAGTGGTGAACTATGCAAGGAAAACCGAAGATTCTTTGTAAAATTGTGAATATAATTTGTGCTTGCTGATTATATGATGGCTTCGTTAAAAAATTCCACTGTTTGTGCCAACTGGATGTTATTGTTGCTGAGTACACCCACGAATTCTGTACTTATACACTTCGAGCCGTCCTCCTTAAGACGGATGAGCAACTCATAGCTTTTTTCTTGGGATTGATAATTGCAAATTTTCCATATCAGATGAAAAGAGTATCATTCTTGTTTCCAACTTCGAAAATGCACACCAATAAGGTCCAAAAGCACAGGAAAAAGTGGGTCAATATGGAGCTTTGCGTCTTATGAAGACATATGAGATGACCTCTTTGAGTAATAGAGATTTAGCTGCTGTTTTAGGCAGAAATTATACCCAGATGGCACCTAAAAGAGACCGGGCGAACATAAAAATTGGGCATACACCAAAAAGTTGTTGAAGGGTCCAATGTAGGTGAAAGAGAAACGGAATCAATTTGTTTATTGTGCTGGAGAGCCAATGACAAAAAAATTGTACAAATCTACCATTCGATGCATCTATAGTCAGGAGAAAGGTCAAGCTTATGCATCTCCTCATCGTGTTAATATAATGGAGTTTGAATTGATGATTTTTTGTCAACTTAGATATTAGTTATTACAAATTTTCTAATGGGAACGAAGAGAAAATATATGTACTACCCATTGAAGGCAAGACTTTACTATTGGAAGGGTGTCGAAATAGAAGAAGAAATTGATCTGTTGCCTATACAAGGAGAAAGTTTGGTTGTTCATTGAGTTTCTCTGTAGCTGGGAGAAGGGAGGATCGAAGATGAAGAAGTATTTTTTATACCCAGGTCATCTGTAAAGGAAAGGGGTGTGATGAGATAATTTAAAATGACACTTCTGAAAATATAATATCTAAAGTAGTTGTCAAGCCACTGAAAATTTCTGTTGCTCGGAGGTGTTTATGATGAGTAAACTTAGCAAGATGAAGTTTGTTGTGATATCCTAACCATGGGATGCTAGATCGACTTGTTGGATCAATTGCATTTTCTGAGCAAGCTTAAAAGGTGGTAATAACTAAAGTTGGATTAGGGCGAAGATGAGTGGAAAACAAAATTTACAACTCGATACGGACAGTTCGAATGTCTTTGATGCCTTCTGGTCTTAGCAATGCACCCAACACTTTCACGTGAGCGATGACAGAGGAATTACGACAACATTTTGGAGTTTTAGTGGTCGTTTGTCTTGATACGATAGTAATTCACATTATGACAAGGATGAGCACATGATTGTAGAATTTTATGTCTTAGTTTGAGCTCTTCACAATTGGCAACATTATTTGTTACATCAGTTTTTTGTTGTTTATCACTATCATGCTGTACTTTGGTAATTGAGATCACAAAAGAAAATTTAAAGAATACTGAACAGGGTTCTTTTGTTGAACAATTTTCACTGAAGCATAACGTTGTAATAGGTTTTGGAGTTCTAGTGCTACAAACTTTCCTGTTTACATTAAGTTTTGGCCCTTTTTTCCCCTTCCATTTATGGAGCCTATAAGTAGATCACATTGTTCCAACAACAAAAATTCAATTGAAGAAGTTTATTTCAGTCCAGAAAATTCTGATTTGCTGAGATTAAGTTGAAAGACTACAACTTTAATATTTACTTCGAGCTCCATTGTTATCCTTTTGCTCTTTCAGCTTCTGTTATTATTTGTTTGTTTATTCTTGATTCTAACAAAGTTTATGGTTTCTGGCAGGAGTTCGCCACATTCTTGAGGGTGCTAGGCAGTTACCCTACGGACACTGGCCTGCCATGAGTGACCTTGAGTCCTGGTAAAATTTTGATATCTGTGAACTTGTTTAAAGTAGAGGTGGGGCGAAGGTTTTACTAAGGAGTTTATGTGACTTTTGACATGCATGACTGAAGCAAAATATTCATTATCAATGGATGTTGACTCGGTCTCAAGCTACAGATGAGCCAAGCTAACTGTGGCATTAGATAATCTATATCAGGCGTGTTACTAATTGTAAGCTCTAACTATGAGTGCGGGGTGCTATAAATTCTTATAAAATTTTCCTCCTAACCTTTGACCTCTCAGGGATTGTAGGGTTCCGTTTTCTTTCACTATTATAATTCAAGCGCAAAACCAAGTTTGAGTAAAAAATATTCATACAAATTTAGTAAGTCAGATTAAGAGATGAATGATCTAATGGGTTGGGAGATATAGCAATTCAACGGGAATACATGTAGCTTCGGCTTCTTGGTGATGGGCTGGAAACATTTCATTCCGGACATGTCCAAATAGTTGTGCATATTTTGCCATTTGATCCACGTTTCTGATTGATGCTGTGTGACCTTGCTGAATTTAGCATGCAGTTTTATATCAATTTGATGAAAATCAAAAGATGGCTAAACTGTGTTACTGAATTGAACAACTGCAAGGCATGATGTGTGTGTGTGTTGTTGGGGGGGGGGGGGGGGGGTTGCTATGTGTTCCACTGAGGATAACTCGAACAAGTTTATTTGTTAAATTACGTATATGATTACTAGAACTGTGTGGTTTGCATTATTCTTACTTCCATCATGGACGAATTCAATGTCTCGTTTCAAAATCCAATTGATAGTCTTGTACAAAATTCTGAAATGTGAAGAAAAAATGTAAAAAACGCATGATGGGGTTCTTCATTTTGGTTTCACTTTTCTTTAGGAAGGCAAACTTTTACTTGTATGATGTATATCAACTTCAGAGCTTGAAGGTTTGAAAAGCCCATCCGTTCTGTATTTAAGTGAAAAGGATTGCGTCTGTTTGTGTGAGACAAGAAAAATGCAAAATGGATTAACAACCGTGCCTTCAAGTTCTAAATTTGATAGGTTATCTAAAATTCTGCTTTACCTCCTTACAAAATTAAAACAGAAGTAAGACCAAAAGCCCTATCACAGTGCCATTTACATTTTTCTTGACATGTTTGGACCTTTGTACATGTCGTATTTTGTTATTCTTTCACGTGATATCGTTATTTCTAGTAGGTCTAATTTCTTAGTCTACTTAGCTTCTAACTTTTGATTTTCCTTCTCTTCTCAAGAATGCTGGTCAGGGGCTTCCATTTAGAGAATGCAATTTCGGAAGAAAATCTTCGAAGAATTCGTTAGTCTAAGATATGCGTACAGAGAACTGAGATAGGGTGCTTCTATTCTTTCCATGTAATTACTTGATTTTGTTTCGATTTTTTCACTCCCTCGTCTTTGTTTGTTGAATTTTTGAGTCTGCTCGAGTCATTTACCGAGTTGAATTGATGCTCGGTGAGAACTGCCTGTCCCCTCTCAAGTGGGTCATTTGTTGGCAAATATATTTGGTACGTCGGATTGGACATATGGAGAAATAATAAATTTTATCAAATTCATGCGTATCTCTTAATTCTATCAAACATGGATGGAATGTTTTGACTGTCTTGAGTAAAATAAATTAGTTGCTGCTATTTAATGAACTAAATGTTTAATTAGCCATTATATTTAACTATTTATATGGATAACTTTGTCATAATTATTTAATTCAATTTTTACATTTTCAGCCTTTTTAAAATTAAAAAACATAATGTCTGGAAGTTTTTATAAATGATTTAAATTATAAATATATATGAAAAAAGCGGAGAATATATGAATAATATTTGTAGTTTTCTCAAAATATATAGATAAGTGTTTTTGAATATTTATAAACGTTTTTTTAAATATGAGTCAATCATAGGCTAATTAGTTTCATAACGTTGACACAAGTTGTGCTTCTAATTCTGAAATAAGGGTGGAGACACCTTGCACGTATTCTTTGGAGTCCTCACCTTCTGCAAAGTGAACGAAGTCTCACTCACTACTAGAAATTGCACTATTTACTCATTATTTCTTTCAAAATAGTAAAAATCGTCAAACAAAAATTACGATCTTTAGTCGGTTGTCATGCTTGAGGATCGGCCAATCTAGAAAACTTGTTTTTATGAAATTTTTGAAAGATCAACCAGAGCATGGATTACCACAAGAAATTTGTCTTTGTTTGGTATAAATCCTGAGAGTTGGGTATCAAACGTATTTTGCTAAATTCATTCTTGACAAACATTAGCAATTTTTACTTTCATATACATTTATCTGAACGATACTAATTATCCAGAATCGCAACGAGAGAATGTTCTGTCACTTGGGCATGTGTCGTATTAGCTCTGCATTGTGATTAGCAAACAAGTGGAAACACACAAATATCTCGTGAGAATATAGTTAAACATTTGGAAAAGTAGGATCTTTTGTCCTAGCTAATGTTTTCAATATCTTTGGTGCTATAATTCAAAAAAAAAAAAAAACAAAAATCCTAGTCAATTGAGCAACATAATTCATAAAGACTTGAGGAACATAAACTCCAAATGAAATTAGGAACATCCATCTCCATCATTCTCCTACTTGGTCGTATAAAATGACATGTAAGAAGTGATGCAATCGAAAAGCGCGATTTATATATTAGACTAGTGGATCTGAAATAGTTCAAATTGCATATTTTCCGATTACTTTTTTAGGTTATTTTTTTTTATGGTCATACGGAATGACCATTGGTAAACAGTCATGTCAATGTCTAACGTTAGACAATGTGATGCATTTGACTTAAATAGAGAACGGTAGTGATTTAATTGACATACAATTAAAGTATAGTGAAACAATTGGCACAAATTTTAAAGTATGGAGACCCAATTAAATTTTTGGTAAAAGATGAGTAACCGCGAATTATAATTAACCCCGTGAGGACCATTTGCTCTAAAAAATAAATGCAATTATTCACGTTTGGCAACTGCATTAACGATTTAAATCCCGCTCGCCGAACTTTTGAAAAACTACTCCACCTTCAGATTCAATCAAACCTCGAAGATTATAAACCGGATTTCTATGTATAATCTATTTCGAAATATCACAAATTCACAATGAATAATCCAGTGAACGACTAAGAGAGTGAAATGAGGTCGGATCTGAAAAATCGCCCCGCCAGTTCTACTCGCGCTTCACCTGCAATTGCAAGTATGTTTTGCTTTTCCTATTTTTCTTTCAAATCTATTTGATTTTGTAGTCTAGAGTTATTATGCTTTACGGTTTAATTAATTCTACGTGTAATGATTTCTATCGGCTGGGGTATGAATGGTTCTTTTTCAATTACCAGATGTTGCTTATTTTATAATTATTTGTGTATGATTTTTCTATTTTATTTTCACAAGAAATTGCGCAGAGTTACTTCGCCTTTTGATTGAGATATTAAAACATACTTTTTATTATTTTTCGTTTATAACTACTAGTTAACATAGTGTGTTTGTAAGGCAGTGATTAAAATGAAAATTATATATTGGTAGGAATACATGTGTACAGAGAAACAGATAACAAATGTTTGCAATTTTATTTATTTACATAAAGAGATTCACAAGTATGTGAACTTTTGCTAAGCTACTGAATTAGGTGAATGCATACGGAGGGAGGATAGGTTAGTTATAGTTGCACCTTTGGTGCCCAAAAAATTATACATCCATACATTTTAAGGATGGACTAGCTAATGTTTTCAATATCTTTAATCAAAATCATCCTCTTCTCTTTCTTAAAATTCCAGAATACAAGGTTTTATATTTTAGGGTGAAAGAAAAAGGGAACACGAAGTAGCCAAGTAGAAATATGCAGAGAAATTAAGAATGTAAGTTAAATTGGATGGTGCAATTAAACAAATACTTCTCTTTTGCAGAACGCTTAAAAAGTGTTGAGGATATAGAAAACTCTTGTTCAACATCATTCAGAGGTAGCTGCTTCAAGGATAATATTAATATTATCAAATCAGACACTGCAAAACTGAGTGCAGAGCCACTGCAGATGAATAGGAAGAAGAAAGGCGGGGGATACAATTTACGGAAAAGCCTAGCATGGGATAGAGCCTTTTTCACCGAAGAAGGTCAAAGTTTATTATATCCCTTTTTATTGTTTTACTTGGAAGATAAATTATAAAACGTGGCTTCTTTGTTCTGTCTTCAGGTGTTCTTGATCACATAGAACTCTCTACAATTAGTGGTACCTATTGTGGAGAGGGATTGTTTGGCATAGATGAAGAAATTTCTGGTGCTTCCAGTTATACTATGGAATCTGCTGATATGCCAGCAACTGAAAATGATTTAATTAAAGAACCTCCAAATGAAGCTTTGGATAAATATAGGAGTGATTGCCTATCAACAAAGCTTGATTCATCTGCTCCTAATGACATAATTTCAACTTCTATGGTCAGTTGTTTTGCTCTCAATGGTAATCTCTTTTTTGATAGTAAGTTTTGTAACTTATTGGGTCTCTCATGTATTTACATTCTCCCAGACCTCACAAAAATCAACTCGTCCTAGTAGCAAAATTGGGTCCAACTGTGGTGACAGTACTCGACCTTGGCCTTCATCATGATATCCTTGTTTTAAATAATAATGTATTGTATGACCTGCGTGTTTTTGTGTACATTTGAGTATTTCCTCACTTGCATTCTGAAGTTTTGAATATTGTGACCCTTAATTCTTCTATACTTTAAAAAGACCACCATATACAACTGCTGCCAAATCTGCAACCAATGAATTAAAGCTGCTGAAAGTTCCTGTTCCAAAGCCAGGTCCTAGATCAAACTATTTGAAGCACAACCAGGTTACTGAACCAGGTGATCTCTTAGCGATATTAATCTATGCATCACTGCATTGGATAATTTCTTTGCTCATGTACATCATATAAAATGGTTGAGTTCAAAGTCTAGTCGGATCTACCCTTATTTCTTGGTAGCATCACGCTGCAAACATAGTAAATTTTCCTATTACTTATGCAGTTGTTAGTATCCAGAGAAATATAGGATCAAAAAGATCCTCCAAAAGTCAGAAAAACACTGAAGATGCATCAGAAGCTGGTACTTTAAAACCATACTGCTATTCAAAAGGAAATTCAGTAAGGACCTACTTTCTTTCTTGACAGCTGTCAGCTTAATAATAGTCTAACAGATACTATTGGATATTCTAAATTAGCAGATAACTTAAAATCACTTCTTATCATTTGAATAGTGCCAATATCTTTGTCTCATCCTGTATTATATTGTTAACAGATCATTAACTATGGATTTTATAGGAAAACCCATTGCAGGAAGGACATTTATCAATCAATAAAAGACCCCTGCTTGTTGACAAAGCCAATAATTCTGGTTCAAAGATGATTTCGGGCAATATGGTTCCATCTACCACAGGGCATTCATTTGAGAGCCGAGATGAGCCCACAACAATCTCCATTTCAGTTGCTCAGAATGCTTGCATCAGTGGAAGGAATATGCATCCTTCACCAAATCAAGCCACCAGACCATCAGGTTTGAGAATGCCTTCACCATCACTAGCCTTTTTTAGTCAGGTACAACCTTTATAATTGAACCAAGTATAGGCTTTCTGCATTTTTGTTACAACAAAAAGTCTTTTGCTTTTATATTTGTGCTAAATCCCAACTGCTTTTGTAGCCTAAATCTTCAGACTCATATAGCTTATCATGGAGAAATAAAGACTCTAATATATGTGGGATTCAAGAACTTGAAGATTTAAGGTCACAAAGTACTTTGAGAAAAACTTCCAAGATATCCAATGACACTGAAGTAAGCACAAGTAATAGCAATAGACTCAAAAGCTCCAGATCAGAATGTTCTGCATCTTTTGAGGTTAGTGCTGTTTCACGTGGAATAATTGAATCTAACATGGACGAAAACTCTACACACAAGGTGGGATTGAAGGTTTTATACAATGCCAAAAGTTTTGAGCCAAAAGGTAATACCATTGATACCAATGGACAGATTCAGGATGTTCTCAAGCAAATTGAAATTCAGAAGATAATATCCCAGGAGAACATAGAATTTCAGAAGGACAAAGAAGTTTCCTTTCAAAGTACTTCATGTGAAAAAGTAACAGACAATGACAATCTTAAGAGTACCATCCTTGGTTGTCCAGGAAATCGTGAATCTTGCATGAGTGGATGGGGAAAGTCAAACCTAGTGTTGCAACATGATTGTTTGATTCTTGGCACAGATGGATCTGAAACAAAAGCTGTAACAGATGAACCACGCAAATGGCCAAAAATATGCAAATTTTCTGCCTCAAAACATGATATTAGATCCCAGACACGACCTGGAGATGTAAATGATCATAGATGGCAGAATTCTTTGACAGTGGGGAGTAATTTGGTGGAAACATCCATGCAGGATTGTCATGAACCACCTAGGGAGCAAACTGACCAATCAAAGTTTTCCCCTGGAGAGACTGATCAGGCCCCCACTGGAGATAAGGATATTTTGAAGAAAAATGGAAGAGCTAATGAACCAGCTAAAGAGTCCCAAGAATATGGAAGTTTGTATATTGGAAATGTAGATTGTGAATCCTTGGAATGTAATATGAAAAGTCCATGTTCATCATCTAACGAACATAAAGATCTTTCAGCAGAAGCTGCTACCACAGATGTGAAAACTTATAACTTACATGTGGGACAGTCACAACTGCAGGTCCCAGAAGATATTTTAGCTATTGAAAGCTTTAAGAATAATGTCAATCATATATTGGTGGTTGATGCTGGTAACAAGAAATCTGGAAAAGCTTCAGAGATTCATGACATTCTCCAAGAAGTTGAACTAGATTCACAGAATAATTTTAAATTGCATACAAGTGATTGGTTGTTGCCTAAGAAACAGGCATGCTTGACGGAATCCCTGCAAGAAAAACTCACCGAGACACTTCCAGCATTTGATGTAGCTGGAAAATATGGAAATCAATTCTTTGACATTAAACTGGAAAGTACTCTGGCTCCAGCTACAGTTCATGACACCGATGACTTCAATATAGACAAAATGACTAAACAACCTCTAATCGGGGACACACAGTTTGAAAATATCCAATCTTCTGAAATTTGCAACATTTTAATTGATACGACTTCCAGTTATGATGGTGTACTCACAGCTAAAGCTAACTATTTGGAACTCAATACTTCTCCTAATGAAGTAACAAATTCATTGGTTGGAGGTGACGGGAGATTGCCAGATGACAATGACACAAGGAATATAGGAATTAATGAAATGAAAGCTGATTTGTTGGTGGAGGACCCTGCAAGTGAAAAATTGTCAAACAGTCCTCATCGGGAAACAGAGGCAATAGAGATGAAAGATAGTAGTTTGTTTTCCAGAAGCATGTTATTTGAAGATTCACAGCAAACTATTCTTGAAAAGACTATAGATTCCAGTCCGATGGTAGATAGTTATAATGAAAACAACTCAAGAACTTCTGCATTTATAGTAAAGGAAGGTAGATTTGGAGTGGATAAGGAGAGTACTGTATCACACATGGAGGATTTGATGGTGCAGTCATATGACAAAGCGTTGAAAGAATGCTGTGTCGAGTACTCTTCAACATGGGATGCTGATTGCAATGAACAGTCAAGATATTTGAAATTGCCTAATCCTGTCGTAGTTGAAGATCTTTTCCGTAGTAATTATGGATTGACTTTGAAGAATCACTCTCCCTCTGTAAAAAGCATTATCTCTGATGAACCTGATCAAACTAGTGTTTTGGATAACATGGTGGATTCTGTTACAAAACCAAGTGATCTACATGAAGGTGAAATAAGTTTCAGTGTTGTTGTCCAGAAACCAACTTTGATGCAATTAACTTGCAAAGATGCAGATGAAATTGTTGGTCAATCATGCATACCAGATCAGAATAAGATTGAAGGTACTCAAGACAGTAGTACTTCTGTTAGTGAAGAATCTGTAGAGGATAAAGCTGCATTTGCACCAATGTAAGTATTACTGGCAAATTGTGTAATTTTAGGTTAACTTAATTTTTAAGATCTATGCAAAATTATCTCGTATTCAGATTTTGAGGATATGCCATTATGTCTCTTTCTGATGGCAGCAATAAATTTGGCGATGGTCTTAAGAAGAAAAGTCGTACATTTGTACCCCCACAAAATGCTGTTCCATTTTCTGATGAATGGTTGGCTGCCATTGAAGCTGCTGGAGAGGTAAGTTTATATGCCTCAGCTTTTATTTTGTTGTCTAAATATTACCCACAACACGTAATCAAAGAAATTTGTCTTTTTTAAAAATTTTGGTAATCCTTGAAGGCTGTGGTTGCTCTATACATTTGAATTCGTTTGTCATTAACTTGACTTGCACGATCCATTCCTGCTCATATTTTCATGAGATACAGTATGTACATGTTTATCTTGTTTAAGTAGTATTTGTTTTCCTTTGAAGTTTTACGTTTGATCTTCCTTCAATGTTGACTATTAAATGGCGATTTTAGGGATCTTGATTAGCCACTTTTTAGTGCTTAGAGAAGATCTAATTTCGTGATTCTTTACATGTTAGGCTTCTTTATTTTACTGTTGTATGTTACCATTGAAGGAAAATTACCTTTTGCATGTTAATCCTTCTTAATGTATGCTTAGATTCACTTTTATCTTACATGTTAGTTCTGTTGACTCGTATGATCTTTAACCATAACCTAGGAAGCACAGAATATTGTTTTTATTAGTTGTGGCGTATCAACAATGTCAATAATATATCACCCAACATATCGGCAACATGTAGGCGACGTGTCTGTTGTGTAGGTGTTCGACACATATTGGAGCTGGGAGGATGTTGGTGCATCCTAGATCCGAAAAGATTTTAAAGGATTTTGATATCCTTTCGGGTATAATTCTATCAATAGACATGAATCTTGGTGTCATTAATCAGTTGATATGTCAGGTAGAAAATAATTATTCTAAACATCACATAGACATAGTCAAGCTATGATTTTTCCCCCTTATTTTATTGCTTCTTGCTAATTTAATCTTCTCGAAAGTTCTATTACCCATTTTTGGTGGTCTTTACGCTTGTTTCTATCCATTAATGAGCTTATGATATCGGTAACCAATTCAGCCATTATATTCATTGATATGTGGTATTATATTGAAATTTCAATAGGATATTCTCACCATGAAAAGTGGTACTGTACAACATTCGCCTCCTGACAAATCTCTTCCCGAGCCAAATCCATGGTCTCCGGTATGTCATTACTCTTACATTCACATTCACATTCTCTACATAAAGGAAAACTTAGATGCAAAGTCATGTTAGATTGAAAAAGAAGAGATATCATATTGGTTTTTGGAAATCCATTGGGGTGGCTCAATTGGTCAGGCCTTGGGTTTGCTCCTCAATGGTCACCAGTTCGAGTTCCCTCAGGGCCACTGAGGTGAGTACCCAGTCGTAAACTTCAGGGCCCTGTGGAATTAGTCGAGGTGTGCGGAAGTTGGTCCGGACATCCACGGTTATCAAAAAAAAAAAATATATTGGTTTTTGGAACTTTAGTCTCTTTGTTGATATTAGTTTTTTTCTTAATTTCTCTATTACTTTCTTGGTTACTTACTCATTGTATTGCAGCTAGTCTAATATGGCAGTTCGGAGTTCAGATAAAGCACTCATTTTGGATATTTGACTTTGAATTATTAATCTTGGAAATACCAGTAGATAGGGTCATCTGTTTCTTTTGTATTCTTCCTTCTTTTCTTTTCTTTCTTGGTGTCCTGTAATTCTTTATCTTGTAGTTCTTTGTTATTTTATTTTATATTTTTTCACTTTTGGTTTGAAAGGTGAACTTTCTTTGTCCACACACTGTTATTTTAGTATTTTACTTCATTAGCTATCTGAATCCATATAGTGAGTTTTTCATGGACCATATGGGCCTCGTTGCAATTTATTCGATAATTTTCATTGTCATGGATTTGATCTACTTTCTAACAGTGCTTTGTCATGTGGACGACACAGCCTGCATCGCTTAAATATTCTCTTTTTACAAGAGTTTTCCAGTGTAAAAATTCATGCTTATTAAAAGTTTCTATTGCCTGTGGTAATTTATACTACTAATTTACTTTCCCAGTCTACCTCCCTTTCCATATAACGCACTAAAATGAGCGAAGAGAGTTGTCCTTGATATGTGCAATTGTTAACATAACCTTTATCTAAAACAATTTCGGATACACTTGGCAGTACATTCAACATATTTTTGAAGAAAAATACATTCTATTTTCTGTTACATTGTGCATCAGACATCAAATACAACAAAATACATTAAAATAAATCTTGAATACATAGTTGATATGTGCTTGATCATAGATGCCTTAGGCATATATCTTACCATTTAGAAAGAATAATGAAATTATAACCAGTAAGTGATAATGTATAGGAACACTACTAAAAGAATAACACCCATAGAAAACTTAGTTACAACATAGATAAAAATATCAATTCTTTAATTATTGTGTTGTGTCATGGCAATCTATATGTATATATATTTTTGTAAATATTGATTATATTTCATTAATTTGTATTTTAATTTTATCAATGCCATCCAACATATCATATCTCGTAACTCTAAGAGTTAACGTATTGTATCCCGTTGTATCTCGTGCTTGTATCCATCACCATACTTCCTAATCCAAAACCAGTAGGATGAATTGCCAACACTTATATGAAACAAGTGGAAGGTTAATTGCATTGTCTTTGGAAATAGTCCTTTTGTTCCAATTTCTTTAGATGTTGAGATTCTCTGTTGTATTCATAAATGAAAGCAGATTGGAGAGCATCTCCATATACATGTTTAGTAAACGTCACTGTCTTATTGTCAAGAGGGATGAAAAATAGAAAAATTATATTGTATTATCAATTTGAAATATAAATTGTCAATGGCTTATGATGATGTTGTACTATTTTTTCAGGTCAAAAGGAAAACCAATCATATAGGACCATTCGACTGTACAAAGTTCACCAACATCTCGCCTTCTGACTCCAGCTAAACCACAAGGTTTGGCATAGTTCTGATCTGACTGTTGTTACTGATCTAGATTAACACTAGGATTATTGGTTGCTACCACTACGTTGTCTTCACAAGAAATCTTCCTATTCTTTTTTATGCGGATAGTGGATTGCCTCACTTTAGCTTAACATTAGATCAAAATGGAAACAATCAAAAGCTTATCCTGTAGTTCGCTGAAATGCTTCAATTCATTATAAATTGTTAAGGAGTAGGTTCTTTGTTGTAACCTTATGATCTTGGTACTCAAATAGGATTTTGTTCTTTCTGGACAAAATTTATGGACACTGGAATGCTTTTAATGCTGGTTTCATAAAAAAAAATGAATGCTGGCATTTTCTGCAAGTTCGATAGTGCTAAAAGTTGTTTGGTTACCGGCATCTAATGGTTCTCATGAGCATTTTATTATTAAGCTTGAAATACAGTTGATCTATGGGAGCTCTTGTTTAAATTAAGAAATTAAAATACATACTCTTGACCTCTTTCGATCGATTTGAGGCCTTCAGCATTTAAATGAGTAACCACCTTAAGCCTATAGGTAGGTTTGGCTTAACTCATTTCGCATCAGATAGTTACAAAGAATTCATTGAAAAAATAGAGAAGTCGAACAGTTTTACTGCAATCAAGCTTCAATACCTGGGACATATTTTACGCTTAACATTTAGATCTTTAAAGAGAGAGCTCACTTAGAGTGTGTTTGGTAGGGATTTTTTGGGGAATAATTGATTTTTGAATAGTGATATGATGGGAAATGTGTGGTTGAAAAAGAAGAAAAAATTATTGATGTGATGAAAAATATTATTTTATTGAAAAATGTGTGGTTGAAAATTTGTTTGAGAGGGATTTTTGGGGGAATAATTGATTTTGAATAGTGATATGATGAGAAATGTGTGGTTGAAAAAGAAGAAAAAATTATTGATGTGATGGAAAATATTATTTTATTGAAAAATATGTGGTTAAAAATGAGAATTGATTTACTGTAGAAAATGAGAATCTGTACCAAACAGACCCTTATTAAACTTCATTTAGTGTCCATTTATATAGTTGGTCCAGGAGCTGATGCAATATTACATACATAATGAAATGTTCCAGAACTAGTTTGGTTACTTGCGTTTATAGGAGTCTTCTTAGTACATATCAATGAGAGAGAATTAGCGAGGAGTCCTCAGAGGTTTTCTTTGGGGATGGGTGGGGTGGGGTGGGGTTGGGTTGGGGAGGGGGGGACTGTAAACTGAACTCTTCGTGTTTATCTATGCATGTTTGATCCATTTTCACATTTTGGAGGTCTCAACTGAATACTGATGTCAACACTGGAAGCAGATTAACCTGCAAGAGAAAAACAGAAAAATCCATTTATTAATGCAGTGTTCTAATTAATAGTGGTTATGCTGATTTAGCTACCAAGAATTGCTCAATTTTCTGTATACAGTAAGATGTGCTTGATGGAGTGTATAATTCAGCAAGCACCATTATCCTATAGTGTATGTCTCCTTAGATTTGTGCAGCCAAACAGACCAGATTACAGTGCATCCATTCTATTACAGTACTTCATGGTCTACAAATTCATTTACAGAATGATGATGTGGATTATATTAAATGTTATAGATTCATTTACAGAATGATGATGTAGATTATATTAATTGACTTCGACTTCTTTTTTCCTTCTCTATTTATTTATTTATTTTTTCTCTATTTCATGTCATCATTCTATACATCAAGTTGTAAAGCATGATGTACAAATAACATTACTCTATATTAAAATTCATTCTATATATCGAATTAGGAGAATTTCTTGTGCAAGATAAATTTCGTAATTTATATGAAAGACTCAAAAGTGTCTCTTTAATTGTAAAATAGTTTACTGAGCATCTCTAATTTTTATTCATTGTCTTTTGCATTTCTCAATATGTAACTACTCTACTGAAAACAAGTATGATAAGAAGTTATTCGACTAGTGGCCTAATAAATTATTAGGTATATTTTAGTTAAAATATCATATTTATCTACTCGTCATTATCATTGTAGAGTGCTACACACTACAAGTCCTTTTCTAAAAAGCTATATGGCTATATTGGGAAATCCTGTTGGCGATGGCTACAGTTGTAGGCACCTTTTGCCAGAGTGCTCCATTTAACGAGCACCATTCGCTCATGCTCAGATGGGATCATAATTTTACACAAGGTGCCTTTCATTTGCTTTTAGTACGTTATACTTTTGATTTCCTGGCATGTCATGATATTAAATCGAAGCTTCTAATGCATTACAACTTCTATACCAACCATTAAATTTAAACGTTGACAATTCAAAATCTTGAAAAAGTTTTGCTAATTTCTCCTTGGACCACCTGACTTCAACTTCGAATTTATTTTTCTAGAGATTTTAACTAATTTATAAGAAATTTACTTGATAATTGAAAAACTAGTCAAGATGAAATAATTGAAATGATAAGTTTAATACATATTAAATGAGTTTGGACTTTGATGGCATGACATGAAATAATCTATTGACAAATTGGTAGCAAATGTTTACAAAAAATGCTAAACAATGTCCAATTAAGACAAATTATTGTTGTGTTGTATGAAATATTATAGTTTCACCAATCATAACCCATATTTTTCAAATGTACCGGGTAAAAATATTGATGGTCATTGAACTTGTACATAAATTATGCACCTCTTTGGTTCGTCTACAAAACTTGATTAAAATCTAAGTCAAAGTCAACAATTAACTCTTATTTGATTTTGATGAAAATCAATTTTTTAATAGGTTTTGATAAAAGTTATAGGTTCATGAAATCTATGATTGAAAATGAATTTGAGAAAAAATAAGTTCTAAAAAATGGAAACAACACAAGTGTTTAATTTTAGAACAATACTAGAATTACATCAATTTTGATATTAATTTTGACAGCTCTCTCACATACATTTGGTGGGGTCCACGATTAAAATAATCGTGGGCCCCACCCATGGGAGAGGGCTGTCAAAATTTCTGTACAATTTTGACTGTACATTAAGCATTTTTGTTAATTTTAACTACACATTTCATATGATCCACTTCTTTTCAATCTCACGTTTCATTTGTTTTTATCAAAATCTACTGATAAATCAAACATGGGTTATAATTGGGTCACTTAATTTTAATCTTGTTTCAATCAAGTCACCGAATTTCTACTTATATTCACATCTGGACACTTTTAGGAGTTAATGTCTCCGACAAACTTTCTGTTACTTTTACAAACAAAGACACACCGATAGTTCAAAGTGAAATAAATTATAAGTTTGATACAAAAAGTAGGACTGTTCGGGGGTCGGTTCAATTCGGTTCTGAATAGAATCGAACCGACCCAAACTTTCGGGTATTTAATAAATGGAACCGTCGGGTCCAAATATAATTATAGAACTGTTCGGGTTTCGTTCCGTTCCGTACCATAATTAAATTTTTTAATATTTTCAGCAACACTACATAAATACAATTAATAACATTTCATTCGTAACTTTTACAAATTAACGTAGCCCAATTCAAAAAAATATACAAAACTAGCCGTCCAATAAGATTAATT